TGCCGCACTTGCTGCTTTGTATGTTGCCATGTTTCACCAGCTAACTTGGTTTGTTTTTGTTCCGACATCTGCAGATTTCAAACGCCTTGCGGTTTTTTTTTTTTTTTTTGTCTCCTCTCGGTTTTGCACTAAACCATTTTGAAACGCTACACCGAAGAGTGACCCCCCCCCCCCGTTACAAAACCCAAGTCTTTTCATTCACACAACAGACTCCGTTTAACAAGACTCTACAAGCATGCGCGCTTCTCTGGCAACAATGCTGGTCGTTTTGCTGGCCACGGTCGCGTTCACAACACAGCCGCAGACAGTTGAGGGCGCTGACACCTGCTTTAGCCCCTACCAATCGTGCGATGTAAGACCCTGAGTGTAAATTGGATGTATAACGGCTATGGCGAAGCGAAGAGTGCTGACGACCGAAACTTGCATTTTTTCCGCAGAGCTGCGCAACGCAAACAACAGCTACGTGCTGCTCAGCACTGGTAATTTGTCTAGTAGGCACAGTCACCTGCAACAATCGTTGCTGCGCCGGCTTTGGCACCTCTTCTTGCATCGGTACGTCCATTTTGATTGTGCTTTCGCTCTGACGCGTCATTCTGACTTTGCTTGTTTTGTGATTTTTATGGCATAGCATGCCCAGCCGTCTCGGGGAACATCTGCAATGGCCACGGATTATGCAACGACGGCTACTCGGGCGACGCAACTTGCGTGTGCACTGACGGATACTCTGGGACCAAATGTGAAATCCCACCATACCGCTCAACTACGCCGGTCTCTGTGACGCCTGTTTCCACCACCGTCTCGAGCACACGGTCGTCGGCAACGCCTGTTTCTTCGGCAACGCCTGTTTCTTCGGCAACGCCCGTTTCGTCGGCAACACCCATTTTTTCGGCAACACCCATTTCATCGGCAACACCCGAGTCCTCTGCAACACCTGAATCTTCCATCACATCTCTGTCATCCCTCTCGGAGCTGTCATCTGCTACTGCAGCGATCAGCGCGGAGTCTTCGTCCGATCTCGTGCTGTCTTCGGGCGATTCGGTGCACACAACTCACTCCGATGGCTTCGCACCATCATCGTCCGTCATCGCTTTGGAGAGCTCGTACACGGGCGCTGTAACCTCGACCAACCAAGGAGGTGACGCGGATCCAACCCCGATCATTATTGGAGCGGTGGTCGGTGTCTTGGTCGTCCTTATTGTTGTGCTGCTGCTCGTCCGCCGGCGAAGGCGTGCGAATGGCAAGTTGGCCACCACGAAATCAGTCGAGTACGTGTTGCACGAGTGACCAAAAGTGATGTGGTGTGTTGAAGCGCAGGTTGCAAAGTCAGTCGTGAGACTCACGGAAAAATCCATCTGGCCTCTGGTTTGTAACAGTCGTTTGGCGGCAAAGCCCGCGTCTCGCCCCTCGAGTCAAGTCGTCTCGCATGCAAATCCCTTGCACCACGCTGTTATATTGGGTCCTGCGGGCTCCAGCAGCATGCGAGCAAAGCCGAGGACGCGCCCCGATGTCGAAAACTATGTGGAGCCTGACGATGTGATTGTGCCGCGACGACCGAGTGCTGCCAATAACCGTGCCTCGACTTCCAATAACCGTGCCTCGACTTCCATTACGATCAATGTGCCCACTGAGGATGTTTATGACCAAGTTGGTCGCGTGCCGAGCTCATACGGAACGGTCGGGCGCCATCGAGGCGCCTCGCCCAACACCTACGATTCCGCTCAAGATGCCCGAACATACGCAGCAGCAGCAGCAGCACAGCCCAGCTCGTATGCCTCTGCACAAGATTCCGTCTATCACTCTACACAGGACACCGTCTATGCTACGACCCAGGACGAAACCACGGCGAGCGAGCACCCAGACGAGCAAATCTACGACCAGACGGGGGATCCCGCGGCCATGGCATCGCTCTTTGGGAAAATGCTCGACTTTGACATGGCACCGAATCGCGCGGTCTCGCCTCCAAGTGCCCCTGCATCACGTAGCTCCGCTGCTCCGCCTCCAATGTCTGGTGCAGGGCCATCTCGCATTTCCGCCGTTCCAGTACCATCACGAAACTCTATTGCGACTACCGCCGCTCCTGTCCTGTTCACTTCCCCTATGATTGCCCGCAATAATCTGCAGCTGCTTGATCTTCTCGGCGAGGGCCAGTTCAGCCAAGTTTACCGCGCCACCTACCGCGCCGCGGCCAGTGCTGCTCCTATGATTGTTGCCTGCAAAATTTTGCGGGAGGACGCGAACGCCAAGTCGCGCGCTGATTTCATTGATGAGGCCGAGTTGCTGCAAAAACTGCGCCACCCCACCATCGTCGGAATGATTGGCCTCTGTGTTGATCAAGGCAACGGCAGCACAAGTCCCACCGATCCTGCCAGCGCCAAGACCGTCGTGCCAGGGGCGTTGACACCGTACATGATCGTGCTCGAGTACATGCCGTTTGGTTCTCTTGACGTGCTCTTGCACAAGTGTCTGTCTCGCAACTTTGCCATCAAGACGGCGGAAAAGCTATTCATGTGCCAACAGATCGCCCAGGCACTCGAGTACTTTGCGTCGGTAAAGTTCGTCCACCGCGATCTTGCTACGCGCAACTGTCTTGTGGGACCAAACTGCACGATCAAGATTGTTGATTTTGGTCTATCGAAGCTGATGGCTGGTGAGTTGTGCTTGGTTCCCTTAGTTTGTTTTTTCGTTTTTTTGTTTTTTCTTTTTTTTTTTCTTTCTTTCTGCTTGGTGGTATTGCTTGGATGTCTGAGCACTCACCATCGCCGTCGTACCTGACTGCTCTGTCTTGTAGAGGACACCGACTACTACACTGTGCAGTCTCGTGGTCGTCTGCCCATCCGCACGATGGCGCCCGAAAGCCTGTCGTACCGGCGGTTTACGTGTGCCAGCGATGTGTTTTCGGCCGGTACCGCTTTTTGGGAGGTGTTTTCCAATGGCGCCATTCCCTGGGAGGATGTTGAAGTTACCAAGCTGCTCGATACGTACGAATCTGGCGAACGGCTCAAGCGCCCCGACCGTTGCCCTGAAGAAATGTACGTTGCGAAGAGTTTTGTTACAGCAACCAGCCCTGAGCTGTGCTTGGAGAAAACTGCAATTGAGCTCACACACTCACTCACTCACTCACTCACTCTCTCTCTCTCTCTCTCTCTCTCTCTCTCTCTCTCTCTCTCTCTCAAATTGCTTACGACAGGTACAATGTCATGTTGCGCTGCTGGGCTCAAGACCCGAACACGCGCCCAACGGCGCAAGAAGTTGCCGCCGAGATTGCAGCATTGAAGGCCTACAATGCCGCGGCCATTCGTGATGTCGGCGCCATGCTGCTCAATCAAGAAGCTGCGGCTTCCGAAGCGCCACCAGCCTATGCCGAGTGAGGAAGGGTTTGCCTCTGTTATTTTTTTTTTGTTATTTTGTTAGCAAGGTTGATTGCGCCCACTTTCGGTGTACATAGCATTGGCAATGGACTACCTGTTCAAGAATCTATATATCGATATATACACACAAACACAACATACATGATATCACCAAACAACATCAAACGTATCAAAAAATGACCAAACAAGAGATGGAACCAAAAAAAAAGAGAGAGAAAAAAGAAAAAAAAGCTGTCTACAATCCATCATTGCAACTCAGGGTCGCTGGTATTGATACCAATGTAGTACTGCCGTGACACGGCATTCTTGCGTCGGTAGTCATACACAAGGACGCCAACGAGGAGCAATCCGAGCACCACCATGGCTACTCCGCCCACAATGGCTTGCACTGCAATGTGTCCGATATTGGATGTCGGCGAGGGCGTCGGCGGCGGTGCACTCTGGATGAGTGCTATCGCAGTGTTAGGAAACACGGCAAACAGGGTGGAGTTTGGAGCAATAATTACAGAGGCCTGCGCATCGCCCAAAATGCCTGCCTTCCTGGCATCAAACAGCCACAAGAAACTGCCATCGGCGACGCTTCTGGCTTGAATCCAGCCGTTCTGGCACGGTAGGATGAGCACGCCATCGCCAGCTGCAAGCGACGGGGCGTAGCAATCTTGTCCGAGATCGCTCATCCATTCCTGCGTGCCGTCAAGCAAGCGAATGGCGAAAAGTTGATGAGGCCGTGCAGCAATGTACGCCACGGAGAAGATGCCGTTGGCAAACACAGTAGGTGTCATTGTGACAAAGTCGCCGTTTGCCGAAAATCGCCAAAGAACGTCGCCGGTGGACAGTGAGATTGCAAAAAATGTGTGGTTGAGCCCAGTGACCAAGACCATGTCCTCCACGCCCGGAATGCCTTCGACAATGACTGGAGTTCCGACACTGAGAAGGGCAGGACCTGGCGCGCTGCTGCGCAAGTACTCGTCTTTCTCTGCAATCACTCGACTCCAGAGCACAGTACGGGTCGAGCCCATATCGAGCCTGATAACCGTGCCTGGCGTGTTGAAGCAAAAGACCGCAACGGATTCATTTCGAGAGACTGCAAAGCTGTCTGGAAAGCTCGAATCGCCAAATCTGCTCACCGAGTACTGCCAAAGCGCATCCCCGCTCGCAATATCAATCTTGAGCACAGTGAGCGATTTGGACAAGGCGAGAAGCGCGGGGCCGTCACTGGACAGGAAGAAGGGCGACCACAGGACGTCCAGTCTGTTGTCGATCGTGTACAACAAACTCGAGGTACCGTTCTCCAGGTTGACATGGTAGAGACCGTGGCAATCGTCGCAAGTCACATACAGGTCGTTCGTGTTGCTTGGCGGCGAGACGCCTGCAATGTAGCCCAGCGACTGGCCCAGTTGTTGCGACCAGAACAGCGTCCCATCGGTAATGTTAATGGCATAGATGGATTGCGTGCGAGCACTTGCCGTCAGCAGCAGAGGCGTTTCAGGCACACTTGCGTTCGTGGAGGACATCCAGGCGGTGATTGCCCCGACCATTGTGTCCTGGGAAAAATCGAAAACCCACGTAGAGTTTGGGTCTTGCTGCAAGGTCGAGCATCCATTCGCTCCAGAATTTTGATTGTCATTTCTGCAAACGCAAAACGAGGATCAGCACGAACGAACGCAAAAACCGTGAGAATAAAATTTCAATGGTTGTCGCAGCAGCAGCCAAAAAAAAAAAAAAAAAAAAAATCCGCATCATCCAACTGTGAGTCTTTGTGCCAACTCTGAGAGTGCATGTTGAGCTGGGATGGACTTGATGAGCAAAATGTGGGGGGGGGGACGGATGGATCTGCTCAGGCCTTGTGTGCTTGTGTGATTACCTGAATCTGGGCCAGGTCGCATTCACGGGACATGAGTCGCCACTCTCACGCAGCTGTCGTCGCGTCTGGTGCGACTGTGCTTGTGTGTGGTGCGTGGCATCGAACAGGCCGACCGGCGGCTCAGCGGCGAGCGCGCGACCGTCCTCATGTGCTTGAGCAGCAATGATCTCGGCGTCCGTCGTCGCAGCGGCACTCTGGAGCACGACAGCCAGCACGAGTGCCAACGACAGTGCCCGGCGCAGCGTGATGAGTGGAGGCGCCACGGGCATATCGTCGGCAGAAGCTCGGCTCGGCTATTGCTGCGGCAGAGGGAGGCTGAGGGTGGGGACAGCGGCGGTGGGAAAACGGAGAGAATGATCAGCCAAAAAAAAAAAAAAAAATAATTCACGACTGCACTCGATTGGCACTGCCTCGAACAATCAGCACGACGATGTTGCGAACATTGAGTGTATTATTGGATACAGGAGTGCTATCATGTACGTAGCAGAAGAATAGAATAAAAGTACAAGGAGGGTGTGTGTTGGGGTGGCGCATTGGTTCGGGATTCAACTGAAGCAGCAAAAAAAAAAAAAAAAAAAAAAACTCTTTAGCGCCGAGAAGGCAGCGCCAAGGTTCGGGTGAACGACAGGGCGCGGGATATTTCGCTCGACATGCGTGCGACGAGGCGATCAGTGGGAACGTCTGCAGACGTCGCAATGCTGCTGTTGTGGTCTGCTCGCAATTCGCGACGACTCAATTGGCGGCGGTATGCGTCGCTGCAAGAGCTGCGCAAGTATTGCTCGAGAATGTGCACCTCGGAGGCACAGTCAAAGCATCCATCGAGTCCCACGCCACGCACGTTGTGAGGGAACAGGCTGGTGCGCGTCACGGTGTTGAAATGAAACATGCGATTCGAGTACGTCTCGTGGTCGAAAACACGCGTTGCAAATCTGCCAGACTGGGACGGCACGACGATGAGCCGAGTTTCTGAGCTGGTGGGTCCTGTCCAGACGGGCAGATGCAGATCGCCGTCAAGGTACTCGGTGTGTCCGGCAGAATACGGCAGGCAAAATTTGAGCATGGCAGCAGCAGGCCGCAAAATTTCAGTCCACTGACGTTGAACGGACATATCCGCTGCCACAGTCTCACGCTGGGTGGCCATTGAAACAACCGCCACGCCATTGACGTCCTCGTAGGAGCGAACATCGCTGATCAGCAGCAAACGCACGTCTGAGCAAGAAGGCGCAAGGTTTCGCGCAATCTCGTCCGTAAATCGCTCTTGCTGGATAGAGACCATCTCTGATGCCTCAATTTCAAATGGCCGAGGGTCATAAAGCACAAAGCGAACGGTGGGGAAGAGCTCGTCAGCCAAGAACTGAATGTGGTTTCCCGGCGCGGCGCCAACATAAATGACAACCACAGGCACATCTGCTTGGGTGGCGTGCATGGTCAGAAACTCAATCTCTGATATGAGCAGTTTCCTTTGGCCCCAGTGGTCGACGGTTTTCATCTGGCCTTCGCGACGACGGTACGGGGAACTTGGGCTCGCATCGGTGAGCAGACGGTCGGCAGCTGAGAGTCGAGCATCCCGCTCAAGCACTTGATGGCACTCGTGTATGAATGCTTGTCGACAGTGCGGGTGCGCATCCCACAGTGCACGCTGGGAGTCTGAGAGCGCCAGCGCGCGCACATCAAAGGTTCGGTCCATCACACACCGATCACGCCAGCTGACGGTGGATGCCGAGCGTGATCGACGCCAATCAAACTCCATCAGGCGATGTGCATTGTGGAGATCGACGAGCGAAGTGACATCCAGCACAAGGTCGTCTGAATCGCCCGCCGGCGCGACTGCATTCGACTCTGAGGCATCTCGCTCTCCGTCGTGTGTGTGCTCCGCTGTGGGCAACAGTGGCTGTAGTGCGCCATCCGCTTGAGCAGGCGGCTGTTCGAATGCGTCCCTTGGAGAAGCGCCTTCAGTCTCAGTGGCACCGCTCAATGGTGCGGCGACAACGACGACGCGACGGCGCCGCGCTGGCTCGGTCGCGTGCTCGCCCTCCTCGGATGAGATGCCAGCCTGATCGCACATGCTCGAGCTTCGGGTCGCGCCATCGTCGGCATCCGCGCGGTCCAGCTCGATTCGAGCGCGTTTCGCGTTTGGAACGCCAGCCATTCCACCAGAAACTGACTCGAGACGACTGAACACTGGGCTTGACTCGTATGGGGGTTTGCGAATTACAATAGTAAAGGACACTAACAAGACGTGATTGCTCAATGAGAGCTCTGCCCTCCAAGAACGATAAGAGCAAGACAAGGAAGGTGTTTTATTAAAAAAAAAAAAAAAAAAACACACACTCTACCAATGAATGATGCTGTGTCCAAACCCAAAGAAACTCATTGAAAGGAAGAATGACCGGCCAACTCGCTAAAAGGAAGAAACGGCCACTTGAGGTTCGGTGGAGTGTACAGTACGCAGCTGAACCCAGGACAGCAGTCGAATCAATGCAAAAATCATGAAATTGAAGCTGTCTGTTCCGACCTTACCCCCGTAACTTGCCCTGGAATCACTACTGAAGCGGATGAACTGAATGCGGAGGTATCGGTTACTAATGAATTTTGTGAAGAATGAGGGGAAGACCGATTGGGGACGAGCCCAGTTCGTCACAAAGGTGAATCAAGTCACTTGTTCAAGCGAACGGCGATGAACGTGTGGCATCCATCGCCTGGGAGCCCTTGAATTTTATGAACCAGACAGTGTCGCAGCAGAATGTGCTTAGTGCGCGGTGTAGATGGACCTGTGAGAGACGTTGAGCCAAGCGAAATTCAGTGGCTCTAGAGCCAGGTAATGTCGCTCTATGAGGTGTATGTTTGCGCCCCGCATGTCGCCCTAAAAATTGAACCGCGGCGATACAACCCATTTTAGCGTGGGTCTCGACAAGACAAAAGAAACAAGCACACAAACAAGCTAAAACCGTGCTTGGCGAAATCTCGAACGGACATCAAACAAAGGCCATTATCGAGCCACAAATTTGGCGCTGTTCGATCTGGTCATGTTGCGGCCCTGTGGTCAAAATTCAACCGTAAGCTTTAGATCCAGGGGTTGGCAATAATATTTCTGGTTGACTTTGAAAAGGGCTGGCTCAGAAGGAGCAGGTATCGCTGCAACGTCGAGGTATGCGTGAATCAGATTGGCGGAGGTTTGGGTTGAGCCGGTTTCTCGTATTAAGGCTTGCTTTCCGGCCGTTGTGAGTCGTATGCACGGTATTTTGCTCTATTTCGCGAGGATTGCGAGAGCGTGCTTGACAGGCTCATCGATCCAATCCCCAACTCCGAATTTTCACAAAAAAAAAAAGAAAAAAAAAGAAAAAAAAAAGGCACACACCAAAATCTCCCAACTGTGTTTTTGTTGGGTGAGATGAGTCATCAACACCGAATGATCCACAACTCAATTGCACAAAGTTAGGATCCCGGACTGGACAGGTACAGTGCTTTGGTGTTGGCGCAAAACATGACAAATTGGACTGGGTACTTTTGCGAACTGGGCTCTGCCCCAATCGGTGCTCCCCTCATTCTTCACTATACTCTCAGTAATGGACACATCCACATCCATTCTGTACACTTCAAGAGAGATTTCAGGTCAAGTTCCGTGCAGTTTTTCGTTCAGTCTTGCTTTTCTTTCTTTTGGGTCTTGCGTTGCTTCTGCCAGTTCCCGTGCGTTTGATGCCACCTGGGCTCCGCGCTCTGCGATTAAGAGATGGGTTTGTAGAGTGGACATCGAAAATAAGCAAAACAACAACCTCTGACTGGAACAGCCCGTGTGTTTTGAAAGTTTTGACGTCAAAGAATGACAGAGCGCGAGTTGTATGACGCAGTCCGAAATACGAGTGGAACACTCGAGTAAGAAACAACCGTATTCCTTGGAAGCAAGGTGCGACAGCGCGTTGACCAAATGAAATACACCAACCAGTCTGCGGAAGCGTGAGATTGACGAAGCTGGTGCGCGGGCGATTGCTGAGGCACTCAAAGTCACTACGACGGTGACTGGGCTCTCGTAAGTCATCTCACTTGTCCCGATGCATGCAAGTAGACGAATTTAGTGATAATATTCAGTGTGCTCATTGATGGAGGGGATGGACAGTTTGTGGAGGAATCGGATTCGCGATGCTGGAGCGCGGGCAATTGCTGAGACACTCAAAGTGAACTGGACCGTGTCGGAGCTCAAGTAAAACATCTCCCTTCGATTGATTGCAGATGAGTGAGTGACTTCAACAGAGGGCATTGAGAGTGCTCACTGAACGAGGGACGATCAGTTTGTACCAAAATCAGATTGGAGTTGATGGCGCGCAGGCGATTGCTGAGACACTCAAAGTGAACACAGTGCTGACTTATATTCAGTAGGTCATCTCACGTTGACTGATGCTTGGGAGTGGGTGACTCCACTGAGGGCATTCAGAGTGCTCACTGATGGAAGGGAACGGACAGTCTCAATTCGAATCGGATTGGCCATGCTGGAGCAAAGGCGATTGCCGAGGCACTTGAAGTGAACACGGCGCTGAGGCGCCTCGGGTAAGGCATATCGCACTTTGACTAATGCAATGTGAGTGCACTCAGAGTGCTCATTGAAGGGGAGGGGATGGAGCAGTCTGGACTGCACTGCGATTGGCGATGCTGGGGCTGAGGCGATTGCTGAAGCACTCAAAGTGAACAGGACCCTGGCCGAGCTCGAGTAAGGCATTTCCCGTGGTCACTGATGCGTATGAGTGGGTGATTCAGCCGAGTGCATTCAGAGTGCTCATTGAAGGGATAGCCTGGGTCTGAATGAGATTGGCGATGCTGGAGCACTGGCGATTGCTGCGGCGCTCAAGCTGAACAAAACATTGAGGAAGCTCGAGTAAGGCATCTATCTTGCTTTGATTGGTGCATGTGAGTGGACGATCCGGTGGATGTATTCAGAGTACTCACTGCTGGACGGAGATGAGCAGTTTAAGCTCGAATCAGATTGACGATGCGGGAGCGGAGTGTCAAGTTTCTGAACGCAACCTGCCACTTTGAACCCGGGATCCTAACACGGAGGCCATTGCCGAGTGAATGGGAGATACAACAAAAGGCGTTCGGAGTGCTCACCGATGGAGGGAACGGACAGTTTGCACCAGAATCTGGTTGGCGACGTCGGGGCGAAGGCGATTGCTGAGGCACTCAAAGTGAACAAGACGGTAACTAAGGTCTAGTAAGGCATTGTGCTTGACCTGATGCAGGCGAGAGATTGATGCACCAGGCACCAGTAACGGTTCTTTGTCGTGCCATGGACAGCTTGGGTGCGAATCACGTTGGCGATGTTGGAGCAAAGGCGATGGCTGAAGCACTCATGGTGAACACGACAGTGACTGAGTTCTGGTAAGTTGCTCGTCTCGCACATTGGGCGAGGCTTTGCTACGTGGTCATTTTGCTCACCCATTAAGCGACAGTCTCCAAACGAATTGCACCAGCAATGCTGCTGTTCAAGCGTTCGATGAGACAAGCAAAGTCAACCGTCCTCTGGAATGGTACGTTGCTTGTTCCTGTAAATGAAATCCTTCAACCAAGATTCATGCAATGGCCTGATGATTAATCACTTGCGCAGCTATTGCGACGGGATTCGTAGTCGTGTGTTCTCCTTACTCCCACGATTCGCAAAGGCTGAAGACCTCCACTCCGTGTTCCGCTTGTTGACCCGCGAACCAGAGCTGCATGATCAATCGGCATCTCTTCCAGCATTACCCGCGGAGATAGCCGAGTTCATTATGGACCAAGCCTTGTACTGGCAAGGCGTGCAGAAAAGCATGCAACCCATCATGGGTTCCGGTGCACTTCCCAAAAGCATTCTTGGAGTCACAGTTCCTCGGAACATCGATGGAAATTCGAGCCGAGTGAAATCGATTCAAGTGCTTCGTGATCTGGGGCACCATCCCTACGCCAAACCCAACAGCGTTGTTGAATTGGTTATCCGAGACGAGCAAGGTGCTATTCGATACGAACGTGCTGCAAACCCGACTTCCGACGATTCGACCGTTGAGTTTTTGGCAATCGAGCAAGTGAATCATCCCATCGTCCGACAAATGCGCGAAGGTTGGCAAGTTCAAGTTCGCACTTGCTATGCGATGTTGCAAACTCTTTATGTCGGATATGTTTAATTACCATCAGTTTGCGTCGGACCCGCAGGCTCTGCGGTCCCGACTGGGTCGTTCTTTGCTAAGAAGACTCGGCGTTGATGTCTTTGTATTGTTTATTTGCATGCATTTGGAATTGCAGTTCAGTCTGCAAAGTGAAATAAAACACTTTACAACAACATTGCCTGGCTAACCCTACCAAGGTCTTACACATTGCAGACTCTGACTACAGTCACCCGATGTCTGTTGTAACCATTCCAACCAGCGCTTCGACTAGCGCTGAGGCAAGCGCAGGCCCCGCGGCACACACGAGGAAACAGAGGGCGGCGAGAAAAGAGAAGATCGCGCGTCTTCAGGCGCAGCTCGCGGCTTTGGAGCTCGAGAACTCCGATCTGGAAGGAGATTCCAAGGACGACGAGGAGACACCTCAACAGGATGAAGATCTGAAGGATCTGACGGAAGCGCACCAGGGTCAAGGCGGCGAAATCAAAACTGAAACGGACGTCGAGCCGCAAAAGCTGGCTTCGTCATCGTCGGTCCCACCCCCAGCAGTCTCACCCCCGGCGGTCCACCAGCTGTTAGGGATTGAGTTTGCCCTCCCAAAACCAACTGACCTAAAAAGGTACAATGTCAACTCGTCGAAGTTGACATGGGCAAATTGGTCAGATACCTAACATAAGGCTAAACCAGCGGTGGCGCAAGTAGCGCGGGACGAGGCTAAGCCGGCGGTGGCACAAGAGACGAAGGCTCAGGACGAGGCCAGACCAGTGGCAGCGGAAGAAGCCAAGCCGGCGCAGGGCGAGGCTCGGCCAATGGCAGCGACAGGGGCCGAGCCAGCGGCGGCGACAGAGGCCAAGCCAGCGGCAGCAGCGGATGAGGCGAAGCCAGTGGTGACAGGGACCAAGCCAGCGCCGGTGGCGATCCAGCGGGAAGCGTCGAAGGCGAGGTTGCCGTCGTCGGTGGTGGCGTTCCGGCGACGTCGGAGGCGACAGAAACGGCGTTTGCTTGTGCGTTTGGTCGCGGCGGCCGATGCGCTGGAGGTGGTTCTG